ACATCTTATATATATAAATGAATGAATGAATGACGCTTCATGGCAATAAAACCAAAGTTGTCGACTCTGAAAATTACCCAGAGATGCTGTCATTTTGCAGGTACTGAACTGACAGGCATCTATCACATCCTGATGTAACCTGGGAGGGCTTGAGTTCAAATCCTGACTCGGCCATGAAAACTCACTGGGGGTGGGGCAGGTGGTGCTGGTAAAGCCACTCCTTAAGGATCTGACCTTGCAAACCCTCTTCAGCACCGCTGCAAGTCAGAAATAGTGAGGATGGCCCCTAACCACTCAGCCTACCATCCTCAGGCTTTTCTGCCGTTTGACAGAGCCTCTGTTCTATATCCCTGCCTTTGCATACACGGGCCTTACGGCACCCACCCTTGCAGCCGGAAGGGAATGCCCTGTAAGCGTTTAATCCCCCAAGCAAGGGGGAGGAGAGGGGGGTGGTCTCACCATGATGGGAAAGGGCCCTGCAAGCCTCCCGCAGTTTTCACCCACCCCCCTTCCTCTTTTTCCAAGCCATTTGCTCAGCTGAAAACCGGCGTTGTCCAGGTGACCTAGTGAGTAGAAATGAGCTTTCTGAGGCCTTAAGAGCATTTCCCCTCGCTTGCAGGATAAGCGTTTCCCATCTGTTGCACACAGGCCAAGCTGGCTAATGGCTTTAAGGAGAGACCAACTGGAAAGAGGCCTCACTTATTATACCATGCTCCGCAAACCCTCTCGGTTGGCATGCTTGATTTTACAAAAGGCTCGTCCGAGACAGCGAGAAGCGCCCGTTAGCTCAAAGGGGCTTGATGAGTTAAGATAAAATCTCAGAGTGGCCTTTACGGCCCACGTAGCACATTCTTTGCCTCGGAAACACACCATTTTATTATTTTATGTGTCTTCCCTTCTCCAAATTGATGAAATCCCGTATCCTAAGAGAAAACCCACTACTACTCATTCCTGCCGTGTTGGAAAGAACGGCTGATAAAAAGAGGTGCCGTGTAAGGCTTGGAGCTATTTTGATCCCACGCCGCCACATCGTGCGACCCAAGAAGTGCTCCTTGGCCCACTTCTGTCACATAAGCTTCAGGGTGCGTAGCAAGATGGATCAGTGTGAAGGCCATGCTCCTCACTAGGGTGGGTGTGACATGTCAGCCAACCCTATTTAAAACAAGCCCGAATTAGAACGCACCAACCCCCCCCTACATAAGCCTGCCTGGCCTTTCAGATCAGCCAGAAACGCCCGTTTCTCTGTGCAGTGGGTGGGTCCGCGAGAGGCTGAGCTTTTCTGCTGGGGGTGGCTGAGATTTGGAACTTTGTGCTCGAAATTTGTCAGCCCCCCCCCCTTTCTCGATCTGTGGTCGTCCAACGATTCAAGGCCTCTCCGCTCCAAGAGAGGATTTCAAACCTCTGAGGACGGCTATGACCCGCTGGGTGTCATGCAGTCAGTGGTCATCTCTCAGAGGCCAGAAGGGGCACTGATGCCATGATAAAGGAATCAGTCGTGCTCGAAATTTGTCAGCCCCCCCCTTCTTGATCTGTGGTCATTCAATGATTCAAGGCCTCTCCAGGAGAGGATTTCAAACCTCTGAGGACAGCTGTGGCCCGCTGGGTGTCATGCGGTCAGTGGTCATCTCTCAGAGGCCAGAGGGGGAACTGATGCCATGATTAAGGAATCAGCACGGCTGCTACTGTGGTATTGGGGGGGGGGCAGGCAGGTTCTCTCTCACAGCATTAATCTAAACTAAAAACTAGACTGTTTTCTTGGGTTAAAAGATTTCTTCCCCCGCAGCACGTTCCCAGAGAGGCAGCTCCCGAGTTGTGCCCTGATTAAATGCCCCTGAAGCGAGACGTTACTCTTCCGAGTCAGGGTCTCTCTCATTCCGAACACTCACTTGCATCTTTTTAAGGTTAGGAAAGTCTCCCGGCGAGATCTGATGCTCCCGCTCAATCCGTCCGTAGATTTCTCCCAAATTGTTTATGAGCTCTTTCTTCTTGTTGTCTTTGCCGAAGACGGAGGGCATCTCCTTCTTGAGGGAGCTAATGATGTAGGCATGGACCTAAAGGGAGCACAAGAGAGCGGCGTGAACTGGTGTGTGCGAGTAAAAAGGAATGAGGGCGTAACTACTCTTCCATCCCCAAAGCCACCGATCATTGGCACTTAATCTATAAGTCATTTATGGAGCTTTAAAAAAAAGGAATATCTATTTTGCATTTGCTGATGGGTTTGTGCTGTTAAAAGTGCCAGACAAACCTTTACACAACTAGGCCAGTGGTTCCTAACCTTGGGCAACCCAGGTGTTCTTGGGCTGCAACTCCCAGAAATCAGGGCCAGCACAGATGGGGGTGCTGAAGGCTTCTGGGAGTTGCAGTCCAAGAACATCTGGGGGCCCAAAATTGGGAACCACTGGAACTAGGCAGAGAAAACAAACACAACAGCCCTGCTGATCCTGAATGATTGATGTAGTGCCCAATTGAACCAGAGGCTACTGATACAATAGGGAGAGCACCGGACTGGGGCTGAGTATCAGAAGGAAAATAAAGGTAATAAACGAGGATTCCTGCTACAAGAGACGAGCGACGTCTTCTATCAGCACAGCCATTTTTTTCCTAGAAATGCATTGGCCTTCTTGTCAGACGCACCTCTCTGTCTCCAGTTGGGTGTTAATGACTGTTCTGATTCATCAGCTGCCCAACTAGCTACCACAGGGGGTGGGGGGGAGGGCTTCACATTGTGCCCTAGCTCCTGTTTAACTACAAAACGAGAGTCAACTTTCTGAGCTAATCTCTGACCCACGATTGCACACGTGGGCTTGACCAACTGGGAATTCATTCTGCTTTGAAAAAAGGTAGTCCTTCCGTTGGTTAATTTCTGCATGACCGGGTCTGGGCCATCGTTCAGGGGAAAGCCATCAGAGAATCGTAGAATAATTGATTGGGAAGGGACCTACAAAGCTATCCAGTCCAGCCCCCTGCTCAAGGCAGGGATGCAAATCAAAGCAGATGTGACAGATGTTGATCCAGTTTTCCTCTTGAAGACCTCCAACACTGGAGCACTCAGCACCTCCCCCTCAAGGTCATGGGTTCCACTGTTGTACTGCTTGAACAATTAAGAAATTTTTTTCTTGATACTTCAGCCTAAATCTGGTTAACTGTCCCTTGAGCCCATGATTATGTGTCTTGAACTCTGGGATGATCAAGACCAGATCCTGCCCCTGCCTCTGGATGACAGCCTTTCAAGTCTTTGAAAAGGGCTATCCTCTCTCCCCTCCATCTTCTTTTCTTAAAGCTCAACAGGCCCAGTTCTTTCAATCTTTCCTCCTAGGGCTTGGTTCCCAGCCCCCATGATCATCATCCTTGTTGAACTCCTCTCAATGTGCCCCATTTTGTTGGCATCCCTTCTTAAACTGTGATGTCCCGGATTGGACACAGGACTCTCCTAACCAATGCTGAACAGAGGGGAACTAGTACTTTGGGGGTCTCCCTTAAGGAAGTCAAGGGAAAAAACCTCCCACAAACAACTTCCCGTTATGCCCGTCCAGGAACTTACTTTGGCCAGTCGTGCCCGCTTAATGAGATCGTTGAGCTTCCGAAGGGCGGCGTTGCGGGGAAGACTTTGGATATCCCGGAAAAGGTCCTGCTCTTCTGCCTCGAAGAGCTTGCGATTATCTGGGATGAGCAACGGATGCGACCAGAAGGAGCCGATATAGACCCTGATCACCTCCGGCGTGTTGACGATCTTCCCGAGCGACCACATGAGAGCGCCGTAAACCCTCATGAGCTGCTGCGTCTCGATCTGGTCCGCCTTGTTGAGGACGACCCTCATTTTGTCCTCGTGGTTCTTCAGGGCTTTGATGACCTCGGAGAATTCGTCCGAGATGTCTAGCTTGTGGGCGTCGAAGAGGAGAATGATGCGGTCCACCCGCTCTGCAAACCACTCCAGGACTGCGGCGAAGTCATACCCTATAGGGGAGAGGAAGGAAGGGGGAATCCCATAAGAAGGGCAGGGGAGAGGAAGGAAGGAAGGAAGGGGGAATCCCATAAGAAGGGGGCCCCCCAATGCCAGCCTGCATACATTCACGACTCTTTTTGGAAACAAAGACACGATGACCATGTCATTAATACCCATTATTATGTGCCACTGACTCCAACTTACGGCGACTCTCCTTGATTGGTTCCCCAGACCCTCCTTCTGGGACCACAGCACAGCTTATCACTTTAACACTCTTAGAATGGCAAAGCCAGAAGATCATCAGGTCAAGCCCCTGTCAAGGAGGCCCAAGTGAGGATTTGAAATCCCAACCTCCGGCTCGCTCACAGTTGCCCAGGGAGCAGAGCAAAGAACCCCATTGGCCCCACACAGTCCAGGTGATCTCAACCGGCCCCCTCTTCCAGAACGCAAGGCATGGATCTGAGCTCCACCCCGCTGAGCGACACCTCTTCCGACCATGCCAGTACAACCTGGATAAAAAAGACCAACTTTCTGTGGGTCTGTTCTGGCCCACTGAATTTTGTCCTTCCATGACTTTAAACCATTGTCACCATACTAAAGGTAAAGGTAACGTTTCCCCTTGACATTTAGTCCAGTCGTGTCTGACTCTAGGGGGCGATGCTCATCCCATTTTCAAACTGTAGAGCCAGCATTTTGTCCGAAGACAATCTTCCGTGGTCACGTGGCCAGCGCGACTAGACACAGAACGCCGTGACCTTCCCACCAAGGCGGTACCTATTTATCTAAGCTTATTTTTAAATGCTTCCGAACCTCTAGGTTGGCAGGAGCTGGGACAAGCGACAGGAGCTCCCTCCGTCCTGTGGATTCGATCTTGTGACTGCTGGTCTTCTGACCTCACAGCACAGAGCCTTCTGCAGTTTAACCTGCAGCGCCACCACGTCCATGCTAAAGCCAACTTCAAATCAACCATGCACTAAGACATTTCCGATACTGCCACCCTCACACCGCAGAAGGCCTGGCTAGCACCATCAAAACCTAGCAAGACAAGGATAATCAATCTATTGCTAGTTGTCTTATTCCACAGCCTACCTAAACATGATACCCAAACGGATATTCACAAATACCAACACTTAACTCCTAGCATCCTTTTTATGAAACCAGTGCCAATTTGTTCCACAATACAGGTGTCTAGATGGCATCCTCACAAACGCAGGAAGTCATTCATTAAATAAAAGGAGAACAACAGACATTATGACAGAAGATACCTACTAGATGACATAAACTCTAGCAGGCTTTCAATTATCCGTAGGATTCCACCACTGCATGTGGTCAAGAACGACCAAAATCAACAAGATTTCATTGGAAAGAAACTGCAGCCTAGATTCCTTGTTTTGTACGGAAGGACACGATGATTCCACCTCCGACAGCTAGATTCGCTTGCCATGGGAAGCCAGTGTTCAAGAGGATTCTGGCTTACCACGAACAAGGAAGCACAGTCAAAGCTGCCCATCACGCCCACCAATAGCCAGTGGCCTGCCTGTCTGCAGCTTATTTATCAGAATGACTGGATCAGGCCCCCTGCCTCCTCTTTCCCCAGGCGAGCCAGAGAAATAAATCAAAGCATAAATCAAAGAGTGGGTTTTGCTTCTCTGATTTCTCCAGGGAGGGACAAGGCAGATAGCCGAGTCTGGATGTTACAAGAAACAAACCATGCGCACCAGAACGCGTTCATGACACAGTTCTTTATTTAATCTGCAGGCTGGCATGCTCGCTCTGCACAGAAACCCTTCAGCAAAAATGTAAACAGTCCTTAGGCCAGGAGGAGGAACCTGGGAGTGGAGAAGGGAAGAGGTGCTTCTCAAGGATTTAAATCCTGAACTCTGTAGGATTTGTAAATCAGCTCCGGTAATTCCCTCTTTCCCATCTTCTAGTCCCCCGATTATCCTCGGGGACCTGCAGCTCTGAGCATATCCGAGACAAGAGGGAGGGCAGCCAAGAGAACTTGCAGAGACCTGCCTGCGGTGAGTTTTGCAGGAGCCGTTAAGTTAACTCGTCAGTTCCCTGCTCCAGTTCCGGATGAGCATCCGTTACTGTGAAGAGGATGATTTAAAAGGCCGGCAGATGCTGCAAAGTGTTTTCTAGGCCTCCCAGCACAAAAGAAGGGCATGGTCACCGAGGAGTGGAGAAAAACAAAATGTGGAAGGAGAGCTGTAGCAACTGAAAGGGTGAAAGGGAACAAGGCAAACGCAGGGATCCCAAACCGAAGCTCACTTAAAGCTAGATAAAAATCTGCTTCATCAGTCCGGGGGGGATCCTTCCCAAAAATGAAATGAGGAAAGCGCTGCCGCCCACCCCCTGAAGAGTAATCCGAGCCAAAAAGCAAAGAAGTGTGTTGCTTCTATACTGCCCCATCGCACCCCAAGCACACTCTGGGTGGTTTGCAAATTTTTTTTTTATTATGGAGGTTACACATTCTGCAAACACACCCCTCCGGCAAGCTGAGCACACCCTTTACTGACCCCCCCGAAGGACGGCAGACGGAGTCCACTTTGAACCTGGGCCACGGGAAGACTTTTTGGCTGCAGGACTGCAGTTTAACCCATTGTACCACGAGCATCATTCACCCTTCACAGAAGCAGCGTAAATGTGCTGTGATGCAGGGGATCAAGCATGACAGCTCAGACGGAGAAGGTATGGGTTCGAATTCCCTGTCAGCACTGAAATTCCCCCGGGGCAACCAGAGCAGTCACTCTGACCCACGTCTGGAGGGTGAGGGCAAAAGAGGAAAACTGTATGGCATGCCGTTCTCGGGTCTTGGGAGTCAGTGGGAGGTTTGCAAAACAAAACCTTAAAGGGATGTGTCCTCTCGATGGGACTTCACGAAGATGCATCTATCAAGCCCACGCAATGGATGGGCTGCCTGTCTTTTCTCCAGGGTGCAGCCAGGCACAAAAGGGGCCAGCCCCAGGGCGCGAAACGAACACGTAACCCTGAAAGAACATACGTGGGGTTCAAAATGCAGGTCGGGCACAGTCCGTAGGGGGTAAAGCAAGAGCAAAAGGATTCAATTGTCCCAAACTCTCCAAGACCTCAAAGGGTGACCATCTACTGCCCTTTGGGGTCTTCCTGTTTCCAACCAACCCTTGAGCGAAATCCAGAAGGGGCCTTTCCCCCCCCCTTCTGGGTCAGCGGCTGCCCCTTTCCCTTTAAGTCGGCTAATTCTCTGCTTCTCCCCAGACAGGATTCCCGGCGTGTCGATCACGCTGATGCTCTCTAGGACCGGGTTCGGCAGTTGGGCACAGACGAATCTAAGGAGAAAGAGAGAAACCAGAACCTTTCACCATCAAGCCACGAGAGAAAAAGAATATTTGCAGCCGAAGGGGAGAATGCCTCAGGCCTAGATAATTATATTCAGAAGTCTTCACCATGAATGTGGAATTCACGCCCCCCCTGGCAAAATTTGGGAGCTCACTAGAAAGGCTATTTACTGCCCAGCAGCTATTGTTGAAAAGTGTCTCGCGGCACTTTTCCCAAACCGGGCGCTCTCTAAATGACCCAGACTACAACAGGCCTAGAGGGACTTGGGCAGTGGGGGTGGCAAGCAGCCTCCCCCCCCGGTCTCTGCGCATATGCTGACCTATCAACCGGGTGGCACATGGGCAGTCTGAGTCTTTGGGTCAGGGTCCCGAGTCCCAAACTTTGAGGGAGGGAAGGGAGGGTTAGGGCAAACAATTCGGGACTCAAGACCCAAAGATGCGGCGTCACATTTGGGAATCGGGGCCCCGAGACTCAGGTCCGGGTGCTGAGACTTGCCCAAACCCCCTGCAGATTAGAGCAGTGCAAATTTGCGCTTGTGGATTACAAACGCTCAGAAACGGGAGGTGCCGTCCCAAAAAAACCCCGCAGAGGCACACACCTTGGGAGTCAGACAGCAGAGTGGCTGAGTCACCAGGGCGAGGGGGAAGGGAGACGGGCTGGCGATGAAAAGTTGGATTAGCTCGCTACCAGCTCAGGCCAAGAGTTACAGCTGCTGATTATCTCCAAACTCCTTTGTTTCTCCCTCCGCTGTAAATGGCGGGCAAGCGGCAACATGAACCTCCTCGAAGGTTTCTTTACCTTTGATCCCCCAAGTTAAGAGTTCAGCGTCTGGCCATTCATGCTGGCTTCTCCATGTTCTGCATTATGAGCCATACGCACATTTCACAGTACAGCTTGGGGGATTTCCCATGGGATACCCGTATGGATCTATTCCAGCAGAATGGCCCCGAAGCTACCAGACTGGATAAAGCAGGAGTTTTTGTGGATTCTAATCACCAGTCCTTCTCCCTCCCCCTGGTGACTCAGCCACTCACTGGAAGGACAGATCCTGAAGCTGAGGCTCCAATCCTTTGGCCATCTCATGAGAAGAGAAGACTCTCTGGAAAAGACCCTGATGTTGGGAAAGTGTGAAGGCAGGAGGAGAAGGGGACGACAGAGGATGAGATGGACGGACAGGGTCATCAAAGCGACCAACATGAATTTGACTCAACTCTGGAAGGCAGTGGAAGACGGGAGGGCCTGGCGTGATCTGGCCCGTGGGGGTCACGAAGAATCGGACATGACTGAATGACTAAACAACAAAAAAGCTTTATTATTATTAGCTTTATTTATATGCCACATTTCTCCCAACAACTTTGGGAGGCAGTGGAAGACAGGAGGGCCTGGCGTACTCTGGTCCATGGGGTCATGAGGAGTTGGACACGACTTAACGACTAAACAACAACAATCCAGTTGCTCAAAAGCATTGGCTGAAATCCTGTTGGGCAGTTACCAAAAAAAAAACCCACTTAACTTTCAGAAGTGAATTACCGCAAGTTAAGAAATCTCTGGAGACCTGATGTGTTGCACATTGCATTGTGCTGCTTGGCATGCAACAGATAAGGTCTCCAGAGATTTCTTAACTTGCAGCAATTAACTTCTGATAGTCAAGCCTGTAGTGTAACTTCTTTTAGCCAACGCGTCTGAGCAAATGAATTAGAATCCACAGGATTGTGGCGATAGACTACCACGTCCGTGCTCTGAGTGCGTGTCAACATTGCAGCGACTGGGAGCCGAAGACAACTACAGCTAGAAGATGACCATTATGTTACTGGCACCAGTCACAGACAAGCAGGATAGATACCCTGCCAGTAAGAAAAGCAACTAATGGACGATTAGCCAAGGTTAGGCAAGGAAAATTTGCTCTGCGAGATATCTGAAGAAGACCTAAGGTGAGAGACGAGAGTTTGTGGTGCTCTGCAGAGCCTTGGCATCATCCTACTTCATGCATTTGAGGAAGTGGACGGCGATTCCCTAAAAACTCCTCCTAAAATACATCTGGTCAAGAGTGTCTTTGGATCTTGGAAAAGTTACTTCTGGGGGGAGAAGAGCTCCCAGCATCCCCCATCTAGTATGGTCACTCTGGGAGTTATCATAGCTCCCACCCATAACTTTCCCCAGTTGTGTTTCAAAGGTGGAAACCCTGGTCCTTTAAAGCATCTGCCGTCTGCTGAAGGATTCTCCCTTCCAAACGAAGCTGCCTGGCACTTTTAGCCATGACTCACCCTATGCAAAACCACTTTCCCAGCAAAGATGAGACTGGATAGACTGTGGGGAAAAGGAATTTTACCGGAGATGTTTTATACACTGCCATCATCCTGCCTAATTGCATGTTGACCAGTTTCCTACAACTCCCCAGGGTTTTTTGGTTAGAACATGTTACCCAAGCGCTGTGCTTATTCGTATTGCCGGCCACCCAGATGTCCTTTCTCAATGAGGAGCGCTCCGGCGGCTGCTCCATCTAGGCTAATGGTCTACATAGAGTAACCACAGCCTTGCAAGATGGTTCTATTTCATTAGGGCAACCTCCTCCTGCAACGTGTGCCACTGCAAGGGGGCAGGATTAAAATTTCCCACCGAGGGCATGGGGTTGGCGGGGCCGGCCTTCCCTTTAGTCATGGCAAGGATAGTCTCTCAATGCTGTTTGCTGGGGAAGGTGTCCTCTGTGACCCAGCGGATGGCATCATGGGACAAAAGGCTTGGGTGTACAGTCGTCTGCAGAGAGGAGGACATCATGTGCCTGGCATGTGAGCAGGGCTGGGTCTCTCCGGCTCTATTCAGACAACGCTGATTTCCTTTTGGGTTTGGGGGTCTTACAATTGCTTTAAATCTGCACTTTTCATGCACAGCTTGCATTAAGAAACAATTTTCTACACAGCATGGTTACGGCAGGCTTGAAGGACTGCACTTCAGTCCAGGAAAAAATGAATAAAACAATTCTTACAGAAAGCTCAAAGCCAACCATTTCTTCTCTGGACTTGATAAAGACTTACTGTTAAAATAAACATTTCACTGGGAAAAATCACAGTTGATGATTCATAGAGGATGCTCAGGTTAAGAAATCTCTGCATGCTCAGTCACACAAGACTCCGTGGTAACAGACCAGGCCTACAGAGAGTTTTACACTTTGGGGGTAATTTGACCTCCCAAAGTTACGCCTTTTGAGTAGCAATACAACAGGACTTCAGCCAGTATCTCTTAGTGGCAAGATGGATAGGGAGCAAAGCGGTCCTCTGCATACCATTTCAGTACAGCTGAAAGCAAAGATTAAAAACAACAACAACAACGAATGCAGGACAAAGGTTTTCCAATGTACTCAAAGGTTTTGCGTGGTTCAAACCCAAAGGCGGTGAGTTTTCCGTTGACAATGTTACTCCTGGAGGGGGGGCACATGATGCCCTAAAAGGCTCCATACCAACCTGTTCAAGAAGGCATTGCCAAACGCATTCAGCTTCCGGAAGGGTCTTTTGGGATCCACCACCAGGGCGTTTCCTGGAACGATGCCCTCCACGTCCCCCTGCATCACGGCAATGAAGGAGTCGGTCGTGGGTTCCGGCCCGATCCTCATCCCAGGGAAATCTTGCTCAAGGAGGTACCTATACAAGCAAACCCAAGAGCGTTAAGACCCAACAGAGAAACTCAGGCGAGGCGCACAGACAGAGAGCACCCCGAAGACCATAAGGCTGGCTGGATGCCTGGAGCAGAGCTTGGAAAAAGGCCACAAGACCTTGCAGGCCAGGGGATTCTGGGAGCTGTAGTCCAAAACTGCAACTTCATCATTTCCGCCTAGAGTGGTCCTATGTGATTCAGATAGGCGGGATATAAATTAAATAAATAAAATAAATAAAATTCCCCAAGGGGTAGTCTAAAGGCAAATGGGTTCCACTTTTTCTTCGGGTGACCACACGGCTAAAACATGACAACTGTGCTGGGCTTTTAAAAACCCACTCATTATTTGCATGTGTAATCTTTAATTTACTTGAAGAATCAAGGCAATGGGAATTTCAGAAATTGTATAAACACTTAGAAAGGCTGACTGGTAAAAGCAGTTCCTCGTACCAATACTTTCACTTGCCATCTGCCGTAAAACACTTGCCCCTTCACTCACTTCCAGGAAACTGTGGGAGCAGGAAAAGTTCACCCCCTTCCTGCAGTCAATGTATGAGATTTCAGGGCTGAATCTGAGAATCTTGCGCCCTCCAGCTTTTTAAAGGACACCACCTGAAAGCAGCAAAGGGTCAAAACAGCTGCCTGAACAAAGGGAAGAATCCTGTACAGAACTACCTCCCATTTTTGGATCCAACCTCTCCATCGATGGGATACGGATGCCAACTAGATTTAATCTGGATAACACCGGTATCAACAAGGAAGGCCATTGGCAAAGAAAGAAACTGTGGCTCAAAAAGCATTAGTGGCCAGCAGATATTTGACTCGTATCACCTGATACATTGTGTGCTCAGTTTATTGGACTTTGAGCCATGATTAAAAATAAAAATCTAAATCCACATTTGACTTGCCCCAGGCAGAAGTCACAAGAGCAACAACAGACGAGTTGATCAGGAAGTGAACATAGGTCTTATGAGCCCCTTCCAACTCAATTATTCTACGAATTGAAGGTGAAAAGAATGGAAGAACGAAATAAAGAAGAAAAACAATATAAAGTTCAAGAAATGCTTTGGATCATTTTGCCTCTGAATAAGTGGCTTCAAAAGTGGTGCTGTGGGTTAAACTGCAGAAGCCTCTGTGCTGCAAGGTCAGAAGACCAGCCGTCGTGAGATCGAATCCACACGATGGAGTGAGCCCCTGTCGCTAGTCCCAGCTCCTGCCAACCTAGCCGTTCGAAAGCATGTAAAAATGCAAGTTGATAAATAGGAGCCACCTCGGTGGGAAGGTACCAGCGTTCCGTGTCTAAGTCGCACTGGCCATGTGACCACGGAAGATTGTCTTCGGACAAAACGCTGTCTCTATGGCTTGGAAATGGGGATGAGCACCGCGCCCTAGAGTCAGACACAACTGGACAAAATTGTCAAGGGGAACCTTTAGCTTTTCCAAAGAACCCCAGGTGAGGCTAACTTCAGATTCTAGTGCCAAGAAAATGAGGAACCCACATAATCTACCTACTCTTCCAATTTTTCTAACCATTCTGACATCTGGCTAGCTAGAAATAGGCAGTCGCTTTTTCAGACTGCGCTTGGCTGATTCAAACAAGTTACATGCCCAAGCTTTGGAAACAGGGGCCAACTCATGAAGGTAATTTGAACAAAGATCTCGACCTTTGGGAGGAAGAAGAGACCCAAGAAGATTGTTGTGAGCAAAACTACACTGGAGTAGGAGCTTAAAATGCATATTGATGATACATTCACTGTTGGTGTCATCACATGCTAGTAAATTCACATTCTTTGGACCGTTGCTCTAAACAGTGATTAAATCGGAGCACACTTTATTTTCAAGCCTAGTCGTGCAGAATAAGGTGCCTTGGAAAGTTCCTGGTTAGATTACTGCAGTGAGCTTGAAATGGGGCTGCCCTTAGAGACAGTTCAGAACGTTCCACTACTTTAAAATGCTACTGCTTAAGATGTTACTTTCAACAGGCACCGTCCTCCAGCTATGTTTGTCTTATCTTTCACTCATGAGAGATGATGTGAGTTGGAGAAATATCAAGATCCGCATATGAAGGAAATTTAGCCTTTTCTTCCTTAGTGGCACCTCACACTTCTCAGCTGGGAACTACGATTCTGTGCAGAAGAGGTAGCAACTAGAAATATATATCCAACAGAGATGTCTTAGCACCTTCCATCAATTACAACTTCCCTGATGCTGGAGAAAGGCAGGCACTGAACCCCGTCCCAAAGCTAGGAAGCACACTGGGTATCTCATAGACCATGTTCACCTCAAAGCTAGAAAGATAAGAAATAACTATAAGTAAGTACAGTCATGTGGGGCTGGAGGAGACTCTTGAGAGTCCCCTGGACTGCGAAGACAACAAACCTATCCATTTTGAAGGAAATCAACCCTGAGTGCTCACTGGAAGGACAGATTTTGAAGTTGAGGCTCCCATACTTCGGCCATCTCATGAGAAGAGAAGACTCCTTGGAAACGACCCTGATGTTGGGAAAGTGAGAAGGCAAGAGGAGAGAAGGGGGCGACAGAGGACGAGATGGTTGGACAGTGTCACTGAAGCGACCAACATGAAATTGACCCAACTCCGGAAGGCAGTGGTAGACAGGAGGACCTGGCGTGCTCTGGTCCATGGGGGGTCACAAAGAGTTGGACATGACTAAACAACAACAAAGTACTGTAGTACCAAGCAAAGGAGTTCATGGCATATCCTTTATGAAGAAACAGCTCAGGGTTACAGGCTGCTCTGCAAAGGATCATGAAGCTGGAAGGGGCCTCCAAGGCCATCAAGTCCAACCCCTTGCTCAAGACAAAAATCCAGATCACAGCAAATCTGACAGATAGTTGTCTAAGTTTCTCTCAAATGCCTCCAGCACTGGAGTTCTCACCACCTCCCAGAGGTAATTGAATCTGTTGTCGTACTGCTCTAACAGTTAAGAAGTTTTTTGTTGTTGTTGTTGCCGGTCGCATACAGAAGGCTTTGAATGCAATGCCTGGAATGGTGAGAAGTCTTCAAGGAGTCAAGGCACAGGGGGTAACACAAAAGCCAACAGGAACAGGCCTCCGTGCAGTCCATGCTGTCAGTTGGCATGGCTGCAGCCCAGAGGTGTTTACTTTATCAACCGGGCTGTGGATCTGAGCCAGAGCTATTCTAAGTAGCAACAGGAGCATACAGAGCATTCATCAATGACCATACAGACTCTCCCACTGCTTCATCCATGCAAGCAAGCAGTTGACAAAAAGGCAAGTGCGTTTTGACAACAGCACAGATCCAGTTTATTTTGGGGATGGGGGCAACATGGAAAAGCTTTAAAAGGAGGAAGGCTGGCCTTTCCACAGAAGGGACACCCTCTGGAGAGGAGGCCAGCAGGCATGAAAAAGATGGATGTAACCTGGAAGAGTAGAACTGGAGCTGTTGCACAGAAGGGACACCCTCTGGAACAGAGAGGCGGCCAGCAGGCATGAAAGATGGACGTAACCTGGAAGAGTAGAACTGGAGCTGTTAGCTGGCTTCAGCTGTCGCCTCGGCTGCATCTTTCCAGAACCAGACGGACATCATCGGTCTCACTTCATCAGCTTTATACACAGCAAAATGACTTCTGCTCTCCATAGCCACTGAGGAGAGGGATTTTTTTGGGGGGGAAGCCATGTCACTGCAACCGTCTCAGTAGTCAAAACCCCCAACATCTTGGTCTACTGGGAGGGGAACCCCTTGAATCCACCTCTCTCGCCCTGATCTCGGCCGGATTCCTCTTGGGAGATCATGGAAGGCTACGACCGGTTTTCCTTTCAAGAAGAGCCATGTCTCCTTGCTATTATCATCCACAAATACCCTATTCTTCTCCACATCTCAAGACGAGCACAGTTAAAGCTCTGAGTCTCTCCGAACGGCATCTCTGAATTCCAGCTTTACTTTCTGAAAGACCTTAAAAAGACGTTTATCTCCCCTGCCATTGTGTTGGGTATAAGAGGAGACTATTGGGGATGAAGAGCTCTCTGAAATAAAGATCCGAGACTCCCGGACAATGCATTCGATTCATGTGCCCTGGACAACTCTTGCTACGAGCTCATAAAAGGAAAGGCCGTGGAAGAAGAAAAAGGCAAGCCAGCCTCCCCCAACCCAGTGGACGCAGCCCAATGGGCCATGAGGCTCATTCTTCCATGGGTCAGGCTGTTTTGGGAAGAGTGTACAGCATATTTCATGAAATCTGGTGGAGAAAAGCTGCCTTCCGTAGAAGGACTAAAATGTGAAGCAGATCAGTTTGTCAGGAGAAATAAAAAGGCCATCTTAGACACTATCTAATTTAGACACCGCTGTTGTCTAAATACTACTCTGAATCTATCTATTCCCCCCCCGAGGGCGGTTTCAATGCTCTATAGATGTGGGATAAAGCAATCTGAATAAACTTCTGAAAGAACGCTGGCATGACATTTGATAGGGCAAAGGGGTGAGGAGCATTAAGACTAAAAAAAAACGGAGAAACAGGGCATCATCTAATCTTCAAAATTTTACATAGAACGTTCTTACCTCTGAGTCTTCCTTTAAAAATATCCTTTTCTACCAGAACCAGCTAATGCCAGTTCACAAAAATACCTCTTGAAAACAAAGCACATTTTGTCAAAATGCTTGCTCATTCTGTACTGGGCTCTCTGATGCAAGCATTAAGTTTCAACCGGGAAGAAGTAGAAATGTCTAGATTCCTCAAGGTCACACTGATCACAAATGACTTTTCACGTTTTTCCTCATTTCTTTTTAACCTACTTCTGTTCCTCCCCCCTCCCCTTCTCTTTCTAGCAAGTATTTTTAGCTCCAGGAGAAATGGCAGCGAAACCAGTTTTCTACCATCTCACACACTGTTTTGCCTTTTCTAAAGAAACTTTTGTACTTTGACATTAAGCCCAGCATTTGTGTTCCGTGCTAGGAAGTGCTACTTTTCCAGACTACCAGTCTAGTTTTGGTTCCTTGGGTTAATTTCCCCAGAATGGATTCTTACCAGCTCTAATACCATTACAACTTCAATAATGAAAGGCAATTAAGGGCTCAAAGCATTGTAAGGCCTGATGGATGCCCGGATTCTCAAACTAGACTAAATTTTATAGAGATGCAGTCGTTAATGCTAATCTAGGAGAGAGAGCAGAGGACAAAGTCTCAATAATTATCTTACGTGCCACAAGACGGTGATTCAGAGGATCTAGACCACCGCTTGAATTCCTGCTCGGCCATGGAAATTCACTGGGGGCAGTGGTGAGGAGTTGGTAAAAACAATCAAATATCTGCTTAAATCTCTCATTTACCTTGAAAGCCCTATTAGGGTTGCTATCAGTTGGCTGTTGACTTGATAGCACATGACACACACCCGTAGTATAACCTTCTCCAATCGGGGATCTGTCACAATACACAACTCCCAACATCCCAGTTGGTTGGGAACCATGGGTGTCCTAGTCCCACAGGTTCGGAAGGCACCCCGTTGGAGCACACCACGGTAAGAAACACCCTGTCTTTCCCATTAGGCTCCATGGAAACAGGCAATAACAATTAGTAAAACAATTCATATTCATGGACATACATTTGCTTTCCAACCTCCTCACATCATCTGACAGGTGTGCGCTTCGGCTCTGCGTTTTATTTTCCCAGGGATGGAGATCACTGGCTTAAAAAATGGGATGCAGGCATTACAAGTCAAAAGCCTCTTCCCGCAACACTCAAACATGCCGTAGAAGAAGCTCAAAAGGTAAAAAAATCAGCAGGAATGAGAGTGGGGAATCGCCTTCTGCCTGCCTGAGGTCCAAACTCCATTTCAGATAAGCTCTCAGGGACCCCCTTCTAAGGATAGTCAGATTCATAAAAGGCAAAAACTCCAACATATTTTAGTTTCAGATTCAGGCTGCCAGTCCCTAAGCATCAATTTTGAATTGTGGTGCCGGAGGAGGCTCTTGAGAGTCCCCTGGACTGCATGGAGAACAAACCTATCCGTTCTGAAGGAAATCAACCCTGAGTGCTCCCTGGAAGGACAGATCCTGAAGCTGAGGCTCCAGTACTTTGGCCATCTCATGAGAAGAGAAGACTCCCTGGAAAAGACCCTGATGTTGGGAAAGTGTGAAGGCAAGAGGAGAGAAGGGGACGACAGAGGATGAGATGGATGGACAGGGTCACCGAAGCGACCAACATGACATTTGACCCAACTCCGGGAGGCAGTGGAAGACAGGAGGGCCTGGCGTGCTCCGGTCCATGGAGGTCACGAAGAGTTGGACAAAACTGAATGACTAAACAGGAGAGGCATTCCAACTTTTTGGAACTAGGAAAAAGCATAGATACCAATGCTAAACAATCCCTTTGGAGGGGTGAGGACACACACAGCATGGAAATGCCCAGAAGCCTGGTTTACATCCCAAGGGATGGGGTGTTACATCCATTCCACCACCATGCACACAGCACAGCAGCCCTTACATCTTGAGTTGGCTGTCCCTTTTTTGGTTAGAATGGGTATGTGCTAGTCTGCAGCAGGACAAGAGGCCTCACAGGTGCACACAGAAGTACCGTCTAGGTGCGAATTCAGCTTAGCTGAAGGTTCTGCAGTGAAACTCTTGATAGTTCTTCTCCACGAGACGGTAAACCTGTTTACCATTTGGGCCAGGGTTGCTTCCACCCATAACCTGAATATCTCACCACTCAAGCTACAGAAAAATACAAAATAATGCTGGTGCTTTATTCTCAGGCATAACAAGTCAATGGCAACAAGGCCTGGGCCATCTCAAGGGGATGACCGGTGTGCAAGACCCGGGATCCACCAGTGAATGGGAGAAGCATCGAGAGCACTTATTCCTTAATCAAGAAAAGTTCATGGGTAGTAGGTCCATATGGCAGTACAGTACCCTTGCTCGCAGGTAAACCTTTGTACTTAAGTTGACCAGGTCTTGTTTGGTGCACGGGGAGTCCAGCAAGAATCGGCTTTCCCGAACCAACCTGGTGCTCTCCAGTTGCGCTAGAGTAGAAGTCCCACCAGCTGCAACCAGATTTGGATGTTGGAGTAACAGCCCAACCCATCTATAGGGTACCAGGTTGGGAAAGACCGTTTATCTTCTTATACATCAACAGAAGCACTGCTAAACAAAGGAGGCATTTGAGGACCAGTTTATGGGGCACAAATCTGCATAACATGGACATATGGTAACCTTGTATGTATGAAATGGTTCTGAACCCACGAGTAATAGATTTAGGATTTAACCCCATAAGGTCTGGCCTAATAAGACCCCTGAGAACCAACCAGAAGTTTATGAGCAATCTGAAGATGAAGGAATTTGCTGTCCATTTTCTGGTGCTTGGAATTCTCGGACACCCACATTATTATTCAGCGATGGACTTCGGGTCTAACTATAGGGTGAGCCTATCACATTCCCAAAATATAAGCCTGTAGCAATTCCAGAAGCTCTTCTCATGGAACACGTCCGGTACGTGAAGATCAGACCACCTTGATCACCACCAGATATACATACTTTTTCAGGATTCCCATGAACTTCTAGTGTTTTAAAAAGTGCTAGCCACATATTTTAATGGTGCATTCTATACCTGCCTGATCATGCTGATTACCAACACCAACACCCAGATATGTCATCACAGTTTCTAGCAATCCCCCTTCACAAAAAGATATACAATGCCCAAACTGCAACTTCATTATTTTTTCTAGAAAATGAATCACCGTGACATTATTTAATTTACTTGATGCCAACACTAGGATACTCTTTCATTCTAGTGCAGATTAACTTGGGAGTGTTTTGTACCTCACTGGCCCGCACCTAACCCGGAAAATAGGTAAGGATCTGTCTTTTACAGATGGGAATTTCCATGTGAATCCTCTTTTTTGAAAGTGAAAAAAAAAAGATGAGACCCATAAGCCGACTGAGAATCAGACCTTCGGGTTCACAAGAGAGAAAAGAGAACCCAGCTAGCCGCTAAATATCTTACCTGGCTTTGAACGACACACGACAGGGCAAAGTTATGCCTCTTTGCCTTAAGACTGCCTGTGACGGATAGAAGATGACTCCTTATGCAATGTGTGTAATCTTAAATTTTGCATTTTAGTTATGTCAACCTTGCTGCCTACTCATGGTTTCCAACTTTAAATAATCGCATTTCGTGATTGTGAGCTGTCTTAGGTCCTTCTCAAAGAATTTTTTTTAAAAAATAAATAAAGCTATTTTAAGCCAATAAGATCAGTAGGATTTTGGGCAACCTGGGGATCCGTGGGGCACCCCAGCGTGGGAAGGTTTTCTTTTCTTACCTGATGAAGGTGGTCTTCCCGGTGGAGTACTGGCCCACCAGCAGGACCATGGGCTTGTTGTCGAAATCCGCATCCTCCAGGGCCGGGGAGTGGAACTCATGGAACCTGTAGTACTCTTCCAGAGGGAGCAGCTTGGTCTTGTAGAGCTTCTTGAGCCCCCCGCTCACCGTCTGGAAGACTTCGGGGTCTTTGCGGCGCTTGTCGTCGTGGCCCAACCAGCTGAACATCTCGCCGCCCCACAAGGAACGTCCCCGGCGGCCCCGTTCCTTTCCCGGAGGGGTGGGTCGTCGTTACCGAAGGGGCCAGGAACACCACCGCCGCCGGCTGCGCTTGCCCTCCTCCCCGGGGGAACGTCCCGATCCGGGCGAGGGACGGGACGGGACCCGGCGTCCGCCTTGGGAAAGGAAGGAGACCGTCCGTTCCTTCCTTCCTTCCTTCGTTCCTCCGGCCGGTCCGGGAACGCAGGCAAGGTCTCCGGAGGAGGGGCGGCGGGGTCTGGCCCCCGTCCCCAAGCCGTCTTGCAGGCGCACCTTTTGCAAGAGCCAGAGGTTTGGAAAGCAGCCCCCCCCTCTCCCTCCTCGGAGGAACCGTAACGGTAACTGGTAATTCTGGGGTGGAAAAGGAACGAACGTGGCAAAAAGGAACGGGGCTGGGCTTGGAGGAATTCCACGCCCCGCCGCAGGGTTTCCCCAGGGAAGAGAGCCCGGCGGGCCGAGGAGAGACAGAGAGAGAGACAGAGCCCAGCCTCTCCCGAGGAATCTCCGCAGCAGAAGCAGGAGCGCAAGGGCAGCCACCACCTCCTCCTTCCCCGGGTTGCAACAGCTGGGCTTTAAAGGCCAGCCTTCCAGGAAACGGAAGTGGCCCCCAACGACGGGCACCGCCTTCGGCCAGGCAGAAGCATGGCCGCCGGCAGTGGGCTTCCGGTCCTCGCCCTCGGAGCGCGGAGGGTCTTTGTGCGCAGGCGCCGGCAAGAGGCCCGCCAGTCAAACCACAGAGCCGGGAAAAGAGAGGGAGAGAAAGAGAAGGGCCCGGAAGTTGGGCAGTTGGCCCGCGTCGGTTTGAGAAAGGCGGAGGGAGGGCGCCCCCTGGAGTCCACAGAGGGGAATTTAGGGTACTCTTGTGCACCCAAACCGGTGGGGTGCAGGCAGGCGGGATGGATTGGTTTAAAATCGTGATTGAAAGTTTTAAAAAGCAGATTTTGAAAAGAGAGGGAGAGAAAGAGAAGGGCCCGGAAGTTGGGCAGTTGGCCCGCGTCGGTTTGAGAAAGGCGGAGGGAGGGCGCCCCCTGGAGTCCACAGAGGGGAATTTAGGGTACTCTTGTGCACCCAAACCGGTGGGGTGCAGGCAGGCGGGATGGATTGGTTTAAAATCGTGATTGAAAGTTTTAAAAAGCAGATTTTATTTTTNTTTAAATTCTAGATTTATAATATAGAATTCAAAGCTGTCTCTATATAAATTTGACTTGATTGTACTGAGTACTTACGGTGGATGTGAGTCCGGTACGTCCTGGCAAACGCTATGACCAGAGGCTAGGGACAATATGATCCATCTTACTTTTGTCACAACCCATGCACTCGCGGGTACCATGAGAAATTGCACTTTGTCCTGCACAAACTGTGTTTTCAGTAAAATTACGGTTAATTTTTGCTTACACGTTATTTTATAATTTACTTAGAATGTGTAGTGGAATATTCATTCATTCATTCATTCCATCAAATTGTATCCCACTCCTATTATAGTATCACAGCTCTACTCTGGGCAGGTTACAACACGTATAATAGAAAAGAAAAGTAGAGACATTGAAACCAAACCAGCAGACTGTTGACATGTCGTGTAGCTCTTTTGTAAAAGGAACCCTGCTTTAAAATGTTATTATGAATAAACAACCACAAATGAGCCACTAAAACTTGAGACATTATTGTATATGTTTTTCAGTAAATTGTTTTGCAATAAATTAAAATGTATCACGAATAAATTAGAATGCATTTTTCAAAGAGGTATGGAAATGTATTTTGAGATTCAATGGGGTGCCAACCAGTAAAAAGGTTAAGAACCTCTGCTGTAAAGGCTTCTCTTCCCTTGAACGACGCTTGCAAAGCTGTTAAAAAAATTCTCCTACCCAATTAGTCCTTCGCGACTAGATAGGCGGGATATAAATAAAATAAATAAATAAATAAATAAATTAGGCAGCCAGTCATTCAGGGAAATCTTGTTTGAAGAGAAAGGTCTTGGTCTGCTTGTGGAAGTACAGTACAGCCAAGAGGGGACCAGTTGCCTCCAGTGGCAGGAAGTTCCAGAATCAAAGAAAGAAAGAAAGAGGTCTTTGCCAGTGTGTCTCCTACTCCTTGTAGCTTTTGCTGCAATTAAAAAGCCTTAAAGAGTAACTGCTATATTTCCCTAACCAAGTAGAAATTCTTTGAGTTGGAGGGATGGAGGGGTGGATATCTATCAGTTCAGTTTTTCAGGTGTGCCTTTGTGCATGGCCTGGGATTAATTCTGCCCCCAGTCATCATCACACTTTCCAGGAGGATGCTTCCCGAGAAGGGAACTGACGATCCCGAGGGGGTCGGTCTCCGAGGTTCTTGCCAGGTCAACAACTTGTGCCTAAACACAGTCTCCGATCAGGGGTCACGTCCCAACGAATAAATATCAGCTCTGCAGTCCCACTGTCATGGCTGACGAAGGGGACTCGAGGCACGAAAGCTCACATTAAAACAGAGCAGTTGTAGAAGGGGTAGCCGTGTCACATTGTGCCAGCATTAAGAGAGTAAAAACAAAATAATAATAATAATAATAATAATAATAATAATAATAATAATAATAATAATAATAATAATAATAATAATAATAATAATAATAATAATAATAATAATAATAATAATAATAATAATAATAATAATAATAATAATAATAATAATAATAATAATAATAATAATAATAATAATAATAATAATAATAATAATAATAATAATAATAATAATAATAATAATAATAATAATAATAATAATAATAATAATAATAATAATAATAATAATAATAATAATAATAATAATAATAATAATAATAATAATAATAATAATAATAATAATAATAATAATAATAATAATAATAATAGAAGAAGAAGAAGAAGAAGAAGAAGAAGAAGAAGAAGAAGATGTGGGCACACCTGAAAAACTAAACTGATAGATATCAATCCCTCCCTCCCTCGCTCCCTCTCTCTCTCTCTCTATCGTTTCGTGAGCTTTCGTGAACGAGGCCACTTCATCAGACATAAGAGGAGCCACAACATGGCAAATATTTATACAGAGCGCCATGGTGTGGCGATCAAAATAGAGTGTGGTTGATTGTGAAAAATTTGGCTGATTTTCATGATCAGCGCTGTTCGTAGGAAGAAGCTTATGCAGTTCATCTTTAAGGGGCCACCGTATCTTTTTAAAAAATTCATTTTTAAAATGTTACCGTTTTTGTTCTGAGGGGGTTTGTGAAGTGTCACGACTGTGAATTGTCACCAGGACTATTTGTTTTCTATACCGTCCATCCGACCGAGGGTCACTCTGTGTGTGTGTGTGTCCAGCAATGACAATAATATACTGTATAATGCTAAATAAAGTGAAAAACGAAATCGACATTTTAAAATAGGCAAAACCCCAAAGGGGGGGGGAAGGACCAAAAAAGCGCGAGAAAGGATGAAGAGGACGGCCGTTAATACTCTCAGCAGGGAAATGTTTTATTTTTCTATTTGTAGTGATTTTGGAGTACGGGACGATAAACAGTTGCGCCATTCGTGACGTCTCCCTTCAGAGACGACGCCGGGCGCCAAATTCCCCTCAGTGAGAACAGCCACCGTAGGCCCGCCCGGTGACCGTGATGGACAGCTCCGCCCGCCTGTCACGCCAGGACTTCTTCACAACGTTCCTCCCCAACCAACCGCCTCTGCCTCGGGGCCTCAAGTCCCGCCACCGTTTCTAGGCGTCCAACGTGGTGCCTGCATTTCCGTAGAGCCGACTCCGGGCGAGAAGTGGAATGGTTGCCCCTCAGCAGTCTGTCTGGAACTGCTTTTGAAAACCACAGCTGGGAAAAAGGATGGGGGCCAAGAGGTGGTAAAAAAGAGAGGAGGGGGAGGTCGCGCTCCGGGCAGGCCTGGTGAAGGACAGCCCTTAAAGGGCCCCTCTCGAGGCTTCCGGGGCGGGGCCCTGAAGCGACGCTGGGCTTCCGGTGGCGGAGGTTAGAAACCTGGAGAGTCGCTGAAGGGGAAGGTCGCCGCTGCTTCTCGGGTTCCCCGCCGGGCGTTTTCCGGCCACGATGTTCAACTTCATCTCCGCCCAGTTGAAGCGGACCCCGAGCGTGAGTGACGGGCCGCGCTTCGAGCAGGGCCTCCCCTCCCCCACCGCCGCCAGGGGGGCGCGAAAAAAAAGGAACTTCTCCCGCGAATGTAACGGCCTTCTCGGCCTTCCCCACATCTCCCTCCCCCGCCCCCCCTTTGCTGTCGAGCGGTGTAAACGCCCAAGGGGCCTGGGGGGCGTCGTGGGAGGACGCGGAGCCTTTCGGGGGGGCTCTGTGTGTGTTTTTAAAAAAATAACTTCCCAACCGGGGAAGGGGGGGAAGTTTCATTTCTTACTACCCTTCGGGCTGGAAGGTTTGGATGCCCGTCCGTTACTCAGTCCAGGAGCCCAATCTCTCCTAAAAATAGACTAAAGTCGTGACAACCCCCCCCTAAAAAATCCTTTTTTAAAAAAATTCTCACTGTGATTTAAATCGTGGTTGAACTAAATGGATTAGGCTGGCCCCTCGTTGAACGGAATGAACGGGTCGTGGAATGGAAACCATCGGTCAGGGAAGGGGATTTCAGTCGGTCATGGCGTTCGGTTTCATTGGTTTGATTTAAATCGGAGCCACCCTGGTGGGGGGGGGAGGAAAGGGGTCCCTGTCCGGCCCCCAGCCCCCCCCCCCGGTCTGTCCTGCTGTTTGCCGCCTTCGCGGGGCAAAGGAAGAAGGTGCAAGGCCGAAGGGGGTCGCTGGCGGCTTTGGAAAGGATGGGAGATCAGGAGGTGGCCTCCCTTTGCCTTAAATGGCAGGCCCGGTGGGGGCATGAGGAGCCTTCGCTCCTTTCCAAGGGAGACTCAAGGTAGAGTCAGTTCATTGTTGGTTATCTCGAGCGATTTGCATTAAATCAGGAAACGCATTAAGTCCTTCCTCCAGGAAATGCAAGGTTCCTCCTGGTAGCAGAACAACCTGTCAGGCCTACACCCTGAGTAATAAATACCTCTGGTTAAAACAAAGGAGGTTTGATGTCACTGGGAGTTGATTTCTGGTGTGGAGAAAGAGGGATGAGGGACCCTTATTTCCCCCTCTCCCTGCTCCAAAACAAATTCCCAGGCTCAGAGCGTGTGCTACCTCTTAGTGGGTATGCTTTTGGCCTTGGGCTTGGTTTGCTGGACGGTGGGATTCTGGTGAAGAAATTAAAGATCCGGCAGGCTTGAAGTCTGGCCACCCCTGGAATGCAGGCTGCTTCTAAGCCTTCCCCACCACCCTTGTGCCGTCTTAAGAAGAGAGGTGGGGTGGAAAAATTTTCCATTACGTTTTTCGGTAGAAAAATGTCCACACCGAATAATTACATTTACCCACCGTTGTTTGGGCTGCAGTGCTCATTCTTACCATCCTCATAACTTCTATAAGTGACTCTTCTGAAAAGATAAGCATTGATAAAACCCTAGTGTTGGGTTGCCTATCATGGGGCAGCCTCTTCCTAGATGCGTCAGATAAAGCTCTCTTCAGATGTGCTCCCTTTTTTAAGGGCCCTTTCAGGAACACTTATTGTTTTGTTAAATATAAAGGAAAGTATGGGGTATTCTGTTTATGTTATTATAAATATTCCAGTAATAGAAATTCCACATAAAGCTTTTGAGTGTGGAATTTGCCAAGAAATATTTTGATGCTCTGTTATTGTAGCTGACTTAGCATGCTTGGCTTTAAGTTGTATTCCAGCACATTCAAAGCTTTATGGGGAAATTCTTTCATTGTAATATTTTTAATCTTGTAAAGAGAATACAATACACTTTTATAGTTAAAAATGGATTACTGATGAAAAAACAGCTTTTTGTAAGACACAGATTTGAGATGTGCCATCTCTCTTTCGCTGAGGTGTAACTGTTGTGCCCTTGGCCTCCCTCCTCCTGCACTGCTTTCCTATTCCATTTCAAGTTGAAAAAAATCAGTTTCAGTACAATTAGTTTCACATTCTGTTTAACTAAAATTTCCCAGTTCGACTTTTTCTGGAAAACCCTTAACACCTGCCTGTAAGAGTTTTGGATGGCAATGTGTGATCCCTCACTATTGGCCATCTAGCCAGAGCTGCTGATGGGTCTCTCTCAGTACAGAACATCCAGAGCGGTGGCTCTTAAGTCCCTGGGGTCCCCAGATGTTCTTGGACTCCCAGAAGCCTTGACCGCTAGCTGTGCTGGCCAGGATTTCTGGGAGTTGTTGTCCAAGAACACCTGGTTGACCCAAGGAGGAGAACCGCTGCTCTAGAGGCGCTGCGTTGTGGGTGCATTAACTGTGAACCTCAGTCGACAGCTAGACTGTGCATCACGAAGTGTTTGCACATTAAACATGGCAACGAGTGATTTAAAAGGCTGGTTTAACAGTCTGGAAGCTGGCTTGAAAAAGCTCTTGGCATGTGAAGCAGTCATGGAGCACAAACCTACAGGACAGAAGGTGTCCACAGACCAAGGACCTTCATAACAGCTGCTCCTGTGAATAAGAAGAATCTGTGACCTTGAAAATGTTTGCTACACAAGCTGGCAGAATGTGGCAAGTTATTTATATGCAATCAAGAGGGAAAAACCCCTGATGTCAACCATGCTGGAGATCATATGCATGTTTGTGCATCAGTTACAGGTTGCAGCCACTCTACAGAGCCTTGTGCAAACTGCAGCCAAAACTGCTCACAACCTGCATTTGATACCAGTCGGCTCAGGTAGCTGGCTTGAGGTTCACTCGGCCTTTTGTCTTTCTGAGTCTTGGCATTGAGCACCCAGGTCGCTGGGGGTGAGGGAGAGCAATGCATAGCCTGCATAATTAAAATTGTGAACTACCCAGGGAGTCCTTTATGGGCTGTAGGGCAGTATAGAGGCAGTACGCTTTGCTTTTGTTTCATGGGGCCACAGTTGGAGAAGGGCCGAAAGGTCTGGTGCATTCGTGGTTCTCTGGGCCCACTTTTGTGGCTGGTTGGAAAGAATTTGTGGAAATCCCTGGGAACCGCCTGCCCACCTAAGGAAGGCCAATGAAACCCATGTCACCGACTTAACTTTGCTATTTTTCTCCACTTGTGGCCTGCAATCTTTCACATCATGGAGGTTTTCATTTGGATTGTATTTAAATAATGTGCTTCATTCTGGCAGCTCATGGGTGAAAATAAATAAATTATATCACAGATTGTAGTGGAGGATTTAGGGGAAAATGTCTCCGTGTCACTGAATCGGTGGTCTCAGCACATTGTAAGAGATTGTCCCTGGTTTGGGGTGTGCCTTACAATGTCAGAACGTTCTGTTTTTCTTACAGTTGCTTCCTCTCTTCGTCCTACTTGGGGTCACTGTGTCAGGCTCCTTGATGTTCCTTTTCCGTGTTGGTGCTCGATGCCCTGACTACACGTAAGTAGCACTCCTTGTAAGGTCTGCCTGCTTAACAGCACCTCCCGAATAAAAGATGGCTGTGCTCTTGATACCAAGTCTGGATAGCACGTCCTCCATCTAAGCACTGTAGTTCTTCAGATGTAACATTTCCGTCATATTATTGTAGCTGAAAAAATCAGATGGCTTAAAGCAGTGGTCCCCAACCTTTTCTGAGTCGTGGACTGGTTGGGAGTGCGCTCGTGCGTGGAGTGCTTGTGTGCATGCACAAACAGGCGGAATGTGCTCACACGCGTGCACAAAAGGGGCAGGGTGTGCTAGTGGGTGGAGGGGCACCCATGCATGCAGGTGGCGGGCCATGTATGTGTAATGCATAAGTCAGATAGCTTAAAGCAGTGGTCCCTAACCTTTTCTGAGTCGTGGACTGGTTGGGAGTGCGCTCGTGCGTGGAGTGCTTGTGTGCATGCACAAACAGGCGGAATGTGCTCACACGCGTGCACAAAAGGGGCAGGGTGTGCTAGTGGGTGGAGGGGCACCCATGCATGCAGGTGGCGGGCCATGTATGTGTAATGCATAAGTAATGTGTAAGGCATTTGCTAAACATGGTTGTTATTAGCGCACTCCAGAACTGTTTTTGAAAGTCATGTTTCAAATGCTGCTGTTAATATTGTGGTCCAGATTACATAACAGCTGTGTATTTTAAGAAAATTCAGGCCTCTACTTTATTGAGGGCTGCAAGTGGTTAAAAATGCTATGTGTTGTCAACTTGATTTCAACTGAAGATGACCCTTGGTGGGATTTTCTGGGGCAGAGAGGACTCGGAAATGGTTTCCCCTTCTCATCTTCTTCTGGGGCCTCCCTGGGACCCTGCAGTTTGCCCAAGCCTTCACAGAATGGGCTTTTCTCCTGGGAGGCACAGTGGAGAACTGAACAACTCCAGACCCATTGATCTGTTCAGCCAGGTTGCCGTTGTTATGCTGACGAAAGCTTTGAGAGATCACATGGTCAGCCACTACGCCAGTCTTCCCCTGAATTGGTGCCTTTCAGACGTTTTGAAATATTCTAGACCCTCAGTTATGCTGGCTGAGACTGATCACTGTTGTTTTATTACTTCAAAAATATTGATCACTTCTCAGCCTGTTTGGGCACTGAACAAAATGTGCAACCGTGACAAAAACAGATGTAAAACATTCCTTAAAAAAGAGAGAGAGAGAAATACATTTTAAAACCATTTTGAAAAGTTTGTGTTCTTTAAAACAAATCAAGAACACCATAAAAGCCAGTTTTAAAATGAGTTTGAACCTGAAAATAGAGAGCACCAGATGGCAGGAAGGCCAGGCTGCGCCCCTGGGTTTTTACTCTCTGTGTCGTTTCCCTCTTGTAATGGATCTGTATAGTAACTGCTGCCTGTTTGTTTTGTTGCATGTCTTCACGTAGATGGAGCAAAAAGGAAAACCCGGAGCCTTGGAACAAACTCCCGCCTACTTACCAGTACAAGGTATGGTGGGAATTGCCTAATAAGGCTGATGGTTCTGATTAACCTGTTAACTAGTGAATCCGAGGCTTTTTTCGTGTCTTTGTCCCCTTTGTCTCCCCCATATTTGCATAAAAAGGCCTTTTTAATAGGGTCAGGTCATCCCTTCTCAGAAAGCAGAGGCTTGTTTCTCTCCCCCAAAGGGCCGGATTCCTGCTCCAAAAGGTCAAGGGAGACATTATTGTCTCTAGCCGCCTAGAGTGGTCGAAATGACTAGATAGGCGGGGTATAAATACAATAAATTAATTAAATAAATAAATAATTTAACAAGGGGTACAGTGCCTATAGGGACGTGGTGGCACCGCGGGTAAAACTGCAGAAGCCTCTGGGCTGCAAGGTCGGAAGACCAGCCATCGTAAGATCGAATCCAAGCGACGGAGGGAGCTCCCTTCACTTGCCCCAGCTCCCACCAACCTAGCCGTTCAAAAGCATGTAAAAATGCGGCTTGGAGGGAAAGCCTGCCCGAGTAGCCATGTCTTAAGTTTACTTCTAAAGACACCCAGAGAGGGAGCCAGGCGGATCTCCATGGGCAAGTTATTCCAAAGGTGAGGGGCCACTGCCGAGAAGGCCTGGTTCCTCGTTCTTTCCTTCGGGGCCTCTCTCGGTGTTGGGCCCCTCAGTCGCCCGTTCTGGCTAGAACGAGTGTCTCTGGCAGAACTGGATGGGAGAAGGTATGGGGGCAGAACTGCATTGAGACCTTTTGCTCATCTTTGAGCTTCCCCGGATGACGCTGTTGTGTCATCTTCTGACATGGTAATAGTGACTCAAGCAACCCCAGGACGCTGGCGTCACCTTTAGGGATTTGAACAACAGAAAGCACCTGTTGAGGCAAAGCTGTAAAGAACACACATACACAGGTGTCATGCAGAGGAATATAACCAGCCTCTGTGCCTTGACTCTCATCTGGTCTTGCAGAACCCCTGCAGGCGGGGCCTGCCGACAGTCGAGTATGTTACAAAGACGGCCTCTTTTGAGTTTCTGAGTAAATTGTTTACACTTCAGCTCTGATATTTTGCCTCTCGGACAGAAGGTTTCCAAATTTATACACGGACTCTCCTGGAAATTTGCAACAGATGTCGGCTGCTCTTGGCCTGATGTATTTGCAGCGCCCCAGCTTGTCTGCCAGGGAAACAAAAAGATTGGTTTCTCCCATATTTGGCTTTGTATAAAAACTGGCACCCTGCCTCCTGTTACTAAAAGAACCACAGGCATGTGAGCAGAAGAAAGGAGAACTGGTGACCTCATTAAAGCCAAGTACTGTGTTTAGTAATGTGTTCTGGACAAACTTAACAAACTCTTGCAACGTAAACATAACTTTGGTGTTCAAGAAAGTCACTTTAACAGTTTGGGAAGACAGAAAGCCCAGTCCTGTTGAGTTGACTTGGTATTCTGATTAGGTGTTTATTTACTTTGTGTAGTCAACCTGGATCATAACTTTCATACAATCAATTGAAAAATATAAAGAAAACTTATAAAGTGCCCTTTTTCAGCTGAGCGTGAGGAAGGAGACCTGCTTCAAAAGTAGTTCCTCTCGCAACACAACCGTGCACCATCCTTGTGTGTCTTCTTTCATCAACTATTTCTATGTAGACCTCTGGGGATGTTGTTAAAATTTCTATAGAAGGAACATCGTTGTATGCAGTCTTGGGAACAGGGCCACAAAGGAACATCTTGACGTTAGGCGCACCTTTGGCAAAAACATTGGTCAAGGCCTTCAAGAGAGAACGGGACTGCCCTCTGTCAGATCTGCTCTGATTTGGGTTCCTGCCTTGAGCAGGGGGTGGGACTCGATGGCCTTATTAGGCCCCTTCCAACTCCATGATCCTATGATTTTATGGTGATTTTATGGACTCTGGATCTTCTACCTATAAAACGGATCCTTTGTCATATGCCTGTGGTCCTACTGCCAAAGGTGAAGTGGGGTTTGCTTTCCAGGGGCCCAATAGTTGACAGGGCCCTGGAGCTCCCGATGGACTGTGTGGCTTTTTAGGTCCAGTGAAATGTGGGGTGAACGAAGGCACCAAGTATTGTGGTGGAGATGTGAATATTCAGAATAATTTGAGAGCACAGTCACGCACTTCTGTCCGCAGAAGCTGGCCATACCCATTAAAATGGAAAGTGTCATGTATCTGGGGGGGTTGCCGTCTGACTCTTTACTGTTGTCTTGGCCTTCAGCAGTCCTGACATGCATAAGATGTTGAAACTGGAGTATCTCCATCACCCGTGGGATTGAAGATATGCAGCTTTTCTGGGGAGAATTGGTTGAATGGCCTTTATTTGTAGGACACGAAAGTTCAGCTTTCAAATGTGTGGATGGACGGCTGTGGGCCTTCATCTGTTTTGCATGGACTGCAGGTCCCTTACCCATGGCTTGGGACTCCCTGAAGATTCCCTCTGCCCCCCCCCCCGGGATGGATTTAAAACATACTAAACCACACGCTGGGAGTCCTGAAGTCTACAAACCAGGGGTCTTCCAAAATCTGCTGCTTTGAAATGACTTAATCCTGGGAATTTACAAAATGCTCAGTTTCACAATGCTTGAATCTTAACATTCCTCAGACTTGGGGCGGAGGGGTGGCTTTTGAATTTCCTTCCGGGGTTTCATTTTATGCCAGATAGCTCATCCTCCGTGGAAAAGACTGCAGGGTGAGACGATGATAGGCCAGCCTGCCGGATCTGTGGGCACCCCCCGATCTCTTCCTTTTACTGGGCTAGAAAAAAGTGAGTGGGGTGGCCTTCCTTAGAGCTATTCCACAGCCCTGTCTGCCACACATTCCTTACTGCAGCCATTTGGGGGCTGAGTGGGGGTGAGCCCTGCAGTGTGAGAAAGCAGACCCTCTCCTCTTTCTCTTTTTTTATTAATAATTTCTGACATACAAAAAACCATAAAACTCTCTTTTTTTATTAATAATTTCTGACTTACAAAAAACCATAAAACACTAAAAAAAAAAAGGAAAAGGATAAGAAAAAGACAAAAACAGAAAGAAAAAACCAGACTACGTATACGGAAAGAAAAAACTCGCTAACCCCTCTATTTGAAGTACCCCCACCTCCCTTTGGAGTCCAAGATTCCAGCCTCGTTAACCCTTCTATTCTCCCTTTGAAGTGTATACTAATTAGTTCATACATATGTCATAAATTTCACCCTAAACTATATTCTTGGGCCCAGAAGAAGACAGGAGTGCCCTCCCCTCTCTCTCACCCACACGCAGGACTGGCACTTCCAAAGTTGATGTGAAATTGTTCCCTCTAGAGTTGGTTTGTGTACCTGCTTCGCGCCTTACTGTAACTGCCATACCAGCGTGGTCTTCACTCTGAAAACTCTTCCCTTTTCTAGATGGTTACCATTCAGACAGACTACAGCAAACTGAAGAAGGACCGTCCAGACTTCTGAAGAGTGAAGAATGTTTCTCCCGTTAACAAGCTGCACAAAATGAAGGTCTTTTGGGCTTCCGTCAAGTCTTGTACTTACTCATCCAGGAAATTTAGTTGTGTTTTGAACCACTTGTCAGAAAAAAAGCTTGTTGGGACCTAAATAAAAGCCTATTACTTGAAATCCTAGCACTGTTATCTTTTGCAAACTGAGAATTTTCCGATACGGATAATAACATTTATTTATTTATTTATTTATTCGATTTTTACCCCGCCCCTCTAGACGACGTCTACTCGGGGCGGCCAATGGGTTAAATGTTAATGATAAAGGCAAAGTAATTCACAGTATTCACATAGCCATACAACCTTAAACGATAGCTTCCCACAGGGACTGTGTCGCCTCCAGAACAGTCTGGGTGAGGCTCTTTCTCTGGGCTGGAATTTTGCCCTTAGAATCTCTTTACACGTTTACTCAAGTGGTTTCCCTGAGGAGAGAGATTGGCTGTACAGGGTCCCAAAGAGAAAAGCAAAATAGGATCAACCATTTTGCTTAACTCACACAGGGCCTGCCTGCACCAAAGAACGTTTTTCTGGACCCACCCAAATAGGGGTGATGGGATTTTGTAGGGTACAAGTCCTGGATCTTCTAACCTGCATTCCCCCCTCTCCCCCCCCGTCTCTGAAGCCTTTGCTGGATGGGAGATCTGGGGTGTTCTCCAAAAATGAGTTATTCCCAGTTGACCAAATTATTCTGCGACTGCCAAACACAGCAGTCAGAGACTGCTTGTTTAAAATTGATGGTTTCTTGCAAATACAGTCACGAGAATGTGTTTGCAATTGCACCCAACGGGCTGGGGTTTGTTCTGGGAAATGCCGTTGCCGGGTGGGCAGAAACAGCCTCACAAGGTTAGTAAGTGAGCAAAACTGAAAGGCTTGATGGTGGTGGAGCTGCAGTTCATCCTTTGGTCCTTTGAAGGAAGGATCAAGAGGTGCCTTGAACTGAGTCTGATCCCTAGTCCTTTTGGCTCAATTAATTCAACTCTGGCTAGGCGAAATAGCTCTTTGGGCAGGATTCCAACGCAGGCCTAGATGGAAATTCCTGGAATTACCTAGCTAAGCTAGGCCCTGCTTGGTTTCCACAATCAAAATATAACATGTTTTTCAAGTGGGTACAGACGAGAAAATCTAAATAATTAAACGTGCTACAGTAGTCTTTAAGGTGATTCCTTACTGTTTTTCTGCAACAGGTTGAAATGAGGGTGGCGCAAGATCAAAAATGGCAATCATAGAATCATTGTAGGGTTGGAAGTGACTTTGAAGGTCTTCTAGTCCAACCTCTTGCCCAAGGCAAGAGACCTCATACCATCCCGGACCAAATAATCTGATCAAAAGTAAATGGCAGAGGGAGGAAGATGTAACAAGGTTGTTAGCAGTACATACAGTAGTTCAAATCAGGCTTTGGACAATTTGCTTTTTGGACAACAAAGCCCAGAATCCCCAATTGCGAGGACCACTGGCCCATGCAAAAAAGCAACTTCCATGCACTGGCAGCTGCAGTGTGCAGAGAAATAAAGCTGTGGGGCTGGAGAGGTGCTAAAATTACTGATAGTGGGGGTTTGATCTGCTTTCTTTATATATTAAAGTTGATGCAGTTTTAGGTGAATAAGCAACTTACCACTAGTAGCTCTTAATATAGGCCATTGCCTTTAGTTTTCTCAAGAGAAAGCAGACTGCTTCAGATTTCTGTACTTCGGGCAATACTGTATATCGTTCTGTAAATTATAAGAGTGTGGATGATGTGTTTGCATGTAGGTATGGTGCAAAGTCCAGGCGGACAACTGACAGCAAAGTCACAAGACTGAAAAATGCCACCCTTGTTCAACAAAAGGCCTGTGGATGATGCGTTTGCATGTAGATATGGTGCAAAGTCCAGGCGGACGACTGATAGCAAAGTCACAAGACAAAAATGCCACCCTTGTTCAACAAAAGGCAGGTGTGTTTGTGTGTCTACCTAGTAAAAACACTTGATTAAAAGCAGCTCTGAACGTGGCTGGTGTGTGCATGCAACAGACATACTTCTGCAAACAAATCTTTCACTTTATTTTTCAGCATTAGGAAATCACATTGATTCCCTCGAGGAAGCCACGGGCTAGAGTCT